AGCAATAAAAACAAACAAATAACTATAAAGCAACCAAACAATCACAGACCAGTGAAAACAGATGGACAACAATAAAGTAACAGAAAGGGCACAGACGCATAAAAATAAGAAAGTAGGTATCAATATAGCTATAAGTAGGCATCACTATGATGTAAGTAGGTATCAATAGCTATAAGTAGGCATCAGTATGTACATACTGATGCCTACTTATAGCTATTGATACCTACTTTTTTAATTATAACAATTAAATTATAATTAAAAATATATTTTGATTTTAATGATTTTAACTAAAGATATTCATAATAAAATTTTAATATATTAAATTGAATTAAAATTTTAATAACTAAAAATAATTTAAAATTTTAAGTTATTTATAAATTTAATTAAAAAATATCTTAATATCTATATAGTATAATAATTAAAAAAAAAAGTAAATTAATATTTATTGAATTATTTATTAATAAAAGTAATAACAGATAAAATGTACTAAAGATTTCAAATAAAATGACTTATAATCTAAACTGAATTAAACTCTTTAGAATTTAATAAATATATAATTTATTAAATTTAAATATTTTATATATCTAATTTAAAATTTTTTAAACAAAATTTTTTAATATATAAAAATCTTAATATTATATAAAAGTCCTTATAAAATTCTAAATTAATAAAACAAAAAATTACTATTAATATAATTTTATTTTATAATTTTATTTAAAAACATTATAAATTTTATTATAAAAACATTTTTTTATAATATTAAAATCACATTTATTATTTTTTTTTAATTAAGAAATAATGTATTAATTTTATTATGATAATTTAATTATAAAAATAAATATTTTTTTATATTAATAAATAATTTTAACTTTAAAAATAAATATTTATTAATTTTTAAAAATAAATATTTTTATATAAAAATTTAATAAATAATTTTAACTTTTAAAAATAAATATTTATTAATTTAAAAATTTAATTAATAAATAATTTTAACGTAAGTTTTAATATAAGTTAAATTTATAATCATTAACATTGGTTGATATATAATTATATATCATTTATTTATATTTAGTTCCTTTAACGTATATTAATATAAATATTATTAATATAAATATTTGTAACCTAAATGATAAGAATAGAAATATATATTATAATAAATTTTTTATTAAGTTTAAAATTATCGTATATGAAGTATAATTTGAATCTTAAAAAAATTTTTGTAGGAGTAAAATCATGTGAATTGATTAATTCATTTTTTTTTATAAATAAATGATAATTTTTAAAAATTAAGGTATTAATCGGCTTTTAAGATGAATGATATAAAATCAAAGGAGAAGGTTTTACATTATATAAAAAAAGAAGGGGGTACGCGACCACTTTCATTTTATGAACTTAAAAAGCAACTTGGAAATGATGTTGATATTCTTCAAGAGTTGGTCGCTGAGGAAATAATGTACGTATTAATATGAACACTTTTTTTTAAAAATTATTTCAAAAATATCATTTCTCTTTGTTCATTTCAAGACTAGAACAAAAGGTTGAAATAAATGGACCTTCATCCGATACACCGTTGGACACCGTAACTTTATATTTTAACAAAATTAAAAAAGAACTTCCGAAAGATTATTTATCGACACTTACATTAAAAGTGATTGTCATTCGTATTATATTTTATTTTTTCTTTTTCTTTTTTATAGTATTTTCATTAATTTCAAATTACGCGATTATAAAACAGAGAAAATTTCCAGCAGAGGAATCGAATTTACAAACAGATCCTATATCAGTTGACATTAATTCTCAAATTCAGTCGCTTAGAAGTCGGCTTTGTGAATTGAACAATATCGAATTGGATTTGAAAAAACAATTACAGTAAGTATTTAAGTTTTAATTTTTAGACAAGTCATTTTTTTTTTACTAAAATTGATCCTTTAATAGAGAAAATTTGGACATACAAAAGACATTGGACAATCACTACCGACAACTGCACGAATATAATGAAATAAAAGATACGGGACAAATGTTATTTGGGAAGTGTGCAGAAATTGAGGGAACAACAACCAGAGAAATATATAAAAAGTTTGAAGTTGATCTAACTGATTAAATAAATAAATATTTTACAATTATTTTTCAAAATCTAAAACGGCAATCATTCCACTTAAACAACCAACTATTATACGTCGGTTATCCATATTTAAGGTTCTAAAAATTTCTTTACTAAGAATAGATTTATATGGCCCTTGAGGATACACTATTTCCTTGGGTTGACTTTGTTCTACGTTACACAAACTGTGCGGTCGCGTCGCAATAGGGCGACTTGTCTCATTAAGTAAAATCAATTGCAAAGTACCAGAATTAACACTTATCATCCTTCCTCTTCTTGTATCAAAATCATAAACCCTAGAATCTGAACAAAGACTAATTATATTTAAGATATTTGATGATGATACTATCTGATCAGGAAATCCGTTCATTGAATCCTCCGCACCTTTTGATAAAAGATAATTTTGAATATAACTCCATCCTAATAATCCTTCATTAAAAGCTGCTGAAAATATGCAATTCCCATTCGGTATATCAAACGCTTTGATACTTGAACTACCAAGAGACAAAATTGTACTTTCAAATATTCGAATTTGCACGGCTTCTGCTGGTATGGTTGCTAATTTCTCTCCCGTCTCCCAATTCCAGACAATTAAGCTTCCATCGAATGCGCATGATGCAACATATGATTTAGATAAACTAATACATCTTACAGCGCTAACATGTCCGTTCAATTCCCTTAATAGCTCACCAGTTTCCATATTCCAAATGAAAGATGAACGAAAAAATGTAGAAGCAGCTACTATTTTTTCTTCGAGTAAGAAATCCACGCAACTAAAAGAGTTTCCACACAATGTACGAATACATTCTCCTGTTTCGATATTCCAAATTCTAACCGTTCTATCTGCTGACCCAGTTACCAAAATATTTTCTTTTAATTTAGCATCCGATATACGTTCTCTATGACCTTTAAGAAAGGTTATTGTTTGAACTCGTCCATTGTTCCAATTTACTTCTCTTCGATATTTTTGTTGATACCATTTTTTCCATCCTTCTTTTGGAATATTCATATTTTGTGCTATTTTAGCACCTTTATCTATTTCTAGCATCTCTAAACATTTTAATCTCCATATTGCAGATTCATTAGTAATATTCATCCATGTTTTACAAACCTAAAATATTAATGAGCATTAAAATTTCGATAAATGACAAAAATATTCGAAAAAAAAGGGACAAATATAAAAATACCTCGCGACAGGCACATAAGTTTTTACCGTCAAGGAATGATAATATTTTCACTGAAAGTTCGGGGGGTAAAGCTCCGATAATATCGAACGCACCAAAGCCTTTTAATTTCAATACTTGTTGCAAGATAAATACTTCGTGTGGGTCACATTCTTCAACAAGAGACAGCAAGCTATAAGATATCAGGACTATTTTACACGTAAAACTTTAAAAGATATTTCATTAAATTAATATTTAATACTTACAAGATTTTACGTTTTTCCCTGTCGAGTCTTCTAAATTCAGATAATACACTTTCTATTTCTTTTTGCATTATTTTAAACGAAATAATTGTTATTTTTTCCTTTTTTTAATCGGCAGAATATTTTATGACAATTTTTGTGCAACACTTATTATTCCCAGATTGTCACATGCTTTTATTATATGGGGCCTTTGCGGGGAAACTGCCGGGAAAAATTAATTTTACTTTTATATGCCAAATATGATTTTTAGGTTCAAATTTAGCATTAACTCATTTTTGATTTTTCCGGCAGTTTCCCCCCTTTCTATTGAAATATTTAAAAGTTTCTATTTATTCTTTCTTTCGTATTAACACATTTAACAAATTTAAGCTTAACATTTTAAAATTTCGTCTTTGTGTTTTAAAGTTTTTTGAATTTCAAAGAGTTTTCTTTGACGAGTGAAATTCAAAATTGCTTCCCACTATTATCATCAATATTTTCGTTTCGTTCCATTCTATGTTCAATAATATTTCTTTTTTGTATATCCTCTTAATAAAATAATATCACGTGTTGAAGATGTGAAAAATAACAAAATTAAAATTAACCAATGATAAAAATAAATGCTTATAATGAATATAGATTATATAAACCAGAGAATTAGAAACATGTTCATTTGAGCGAAACTTTATTACGATATAAAAATAGCCTGTGGCTAGAGAGTAGAAAAATACAAATAATTAAAGAGCTGAATATTAATTACGGACTATATAAGTTGACGAGCAACCTCCTTTCCTTTAAAATGAAGTGGACATATTTCTTATAGCGATAGTGAAGGAAGTGGCGAAAGGAATGGTGAGGTAATGGCGATGATATTTTTTTAAGAAACATAATTATAATTTTCTCGATCAGTGGGATACATAATTAATTCTTTTTTGGTTACGGAGATTAAAAATTTCTGGAAAATCTTGTAAAATTAAAATGTTATCTTCTCTCATAAAGTCTTCACCTTTCTTAAATTGATCAAATCACAAAGAATCTTTGTTTAATTCATTTGTCGTCTTGACTTTTTTAATAAATAATATGTGCATAATCAGGACCCTCCTGAGAAAGCAATAATGTCAACGGCTGATAATATGATGAGTCAGCAAATTAATATTCATCGCATAAAGAAAAATGTATCCTTTTAAGAATTAAATGATAATATGAATAAGTCTAGACTTGACATTCGGAAGTTAGTGGTTAACCGCAGCATCAAACCCTTATTATGTAAATGAATATTTCGAATTCATATACAAACAAAAAAGAAACGGGCTGATGATATTTACTAAATTTAGAAAGATTCTCATTAGATTTCCCTCCAACCACATTGAATTCTGCGGTTTCTTATCAAATTGCATATTTCTTTTTTAGTCATTGAGTTTCCTTTCTTGGATAAGCAATATGCGATGTCATTTTCATTTAGAAAAATTTCTTGCTCCGATTTATAATAATGACAATTTCTCTCATATTTAATATCATCATCATTTTACTTCGAAATCCTGAGTGCTTTTCTCGCTAATCAGAAGAATTTGAATTCGTCACGCAAACTTAAATGGATGATTCTTTCGTTTCATCAGGGAATAACTTGGTATCGAATACAACAGAACCTCGTAGTGTTAATATATCTCCCGAAAGTTTAAATTCTCAGAATTCTTTAAGATCAATGGACAATAATTTTGAAGACAATTCTGAAAGAGAAGCCCTGATCCATGGACGGAAAAAGTATACTGAAACACCATTGCCCAAAATGCCTTTATTGGTGTTAGCAGTGATTGTTTTTTCCGAACCTCTCAACTTTAGTTTTCTTTTACCATTTGTATATTTCATGGTATGTATAGGTTGAGTGAGTTCGATTCATTCATAATATTAATAATAATGAATAATGAATAATGGTAATTTCATATCAGGTACGTGATTTTCACGTGGTCGACGATGAAAAACAAATTGGTAGATACGCAGGTTTAATAGGTAATTATATTTTGACCGAATTCATGTAATCAGACTTTTTATTTTATAGTAATAATTAATTATTTTAATTATTTTTTAATATTTGTTAACAAGCTTCTTCGTTTTATCTTGCTCAATTTTGCTTTGCTATTTTTTGGGGTTATATGTCCGACAAGTATGATTCAACAGTTTTTTTTTTCCGTAAGTTCAAGATGTCATATAATGAATAACGTTAATTTAATTGAAACCTCCAGATACGGAAGACGTCCAATACTTTTATTCGGTCTTTTTGGAATTACTACATCGTGTCTATTATTCGGATTCAGTAAGAATTTGGTTTGGGCAATCATAACGCGATCACTTTGTGGGATGTTAAACGTATATATAAACATTTTTAGTTTTTAAAAAATTTATCATGGACCAAATTTAATTCAACGTTTTTATTAAATCAGGGGAACGCTGGTGTTGCAAAGAGTATGCTTGGCGAATTAACGGATAAAACGAATCAGGCCAAAGGCTTTTCCGTTTTTGGGTTTTGCTGGGGCCTTGGTGTCATCTGTATGTATGAACTTTATTCTTATCCTTCCTTTACTAATTTACCAGATAATTAATATTGTTTACCGTAAAATTAGTCGGTCCTATGATAGGAGGATATTTGTCTAATCCTGTAGATAAGTATCCCAAAATCTTTGGCAATTGCGCTTTTCTTAAAGAATATCCTTATTTCCTTCCATGTTTCGTGGCCTCTCTTATTAGTTTTACTGGGCTTATCATAGGATTTTTTATGTTGCCGGAAACTCGAAAATTCAAAGTTAAAGATGATGATGAGAGCAGAACTCTTCTTACTTCGCCCGAACCTAATCCGATCAAGAAATCTTATGGTACAGTTGGTGATCATGATAATACGTTAACGGAAAACGAATGTGTTTTTGAAGATGTTAATTACGGTCCGACAGACATGACCAATAATGTGTCATGTACGACAAAGAAATTTGATCGTAATCAGGAACTGATTCCTTATATTGGTATAACACCTATCACATTAAATGTCGTTATCAGCAATGCCATCCTTGCACTTCACTCTATAATGAATGATGAAGTCTATACATTATTCGCGGTAGCGAAAGTTCACGATGGGGGGCTCGAATATCAAGCAATCGATATAGCCCAAAGTTTAACAATAATGGGGATGATTCATTTATCTACTCAAATCTATGTATATCCATGGCTAGCGCGTAAAATTAGCATAATACGGTTATTCCATCTTGGTTTATTGACCTATGTTCCGGTTTATTTTGCCTTTCCCTTGATTAATCGATTAAAAAGTGCGTTAACAACACCTTATAGTGAAACTATAGTTTGGTACTCCTTATTATTCCTTTTAGCTGCTCGATTTATGTGTAACGTTATGGCTTACACATCCGTCATGATCTTGGTAAATTTTGATGAATATCATGCATTTTATGATAAGAAAAAATATAAACTTTTTTCTTTTTCTTTTAGCTTAATAATTCCGCAACGAATGAAGTACTAGGTGTAGCTAATGGTATTGGTCAAATGACTTGCAGTTTCGTACGTGCGATTGGACCTGCTTTAGGTATGACGAATTTTTTTTTTGCAAAAAAAAAAAAATAATTTAAAGCAATTTTTAACTATTTCAAAAAATATTCTTTTAAAGGCGGCTTTCTCTGGTCCTGGTCGTTGGCGAATAATTCAAGTTTTCCATTTAATAATTGGTTTGTGTTTATAGTATCATCTATACTTTCGTTTGTTGGTTGGCTGCAAAGTTATTATTTACCAAAAGAATTAGGAGGTTTTTAATAATATTCAATAGATAGACCATTATAGACAGAAATAGATTATTATTCTTTTCTTTATTTTCTTTATAGAATCCCCCAGTTAATATAAAACTGACAAAGTGATTTGTTGGTTAGATATATTGTTTAAACATTATTCCTTTGTAATATGAGAGAAATCTTTTAATTAGAACAATTAAATCATCATTACCAAAAATTTCTAGAATCTATTTTTTTTACGTTATTTTCTTAAAAAAAAATAACATTGATTTTATAAAAAGATGTAACGAATAGATCTGGTCCGGTTCGGTCTGGTTTCATGCAGGATGTTCTAAACTTAATATTGATATTGTTAAAGAAATTGCTCTTAAAAAAGGTGGAAAATGTTTATCAGAAAAATATATTGATATAAATTCTTCACTTTTATGGGAATGTAATGAGGGCCATCAATGGTATACAAATCTTATATGTGTAAGAAATTTGGATACATGGTGTCCTCACTGTTCAGGTAATACAGAAACTCCATTGAAAAGGCTAGAAAAATTGTGACTAAGAATAAAGGATTAAGTCTTTCTGAAACGTATAATGTTGCACATACAAAATTAAAATAGCAGTATGAAAGAAAGCATGAATGGTATGCAACCTTGGATAAAGTAAAAAATTCAGGTGGTATAAAAACTGATACATACTTCTCATCATTAGGCGGTTTTCTTTTAAATGATCCTATAGATAAGTCATTACTAACAACACTAGAAGTTAAGGATTTACTAATGCGTACTAGATGGATCTTATGACCTTAGTATATCTGAATTGTCTCTTTAGTAAAAAAGTATTTCATGCTAAGAATGTGAGTATCCGATCAAAAAACCATGTATTATCATTGGTCGAATCAGAGAAAAGGCCTTATATTCTATAGATACTAAGCACTGGATTATAACAGATAGTATTATTACTTTGTCATATTTTCATTAGCGTATTCAAGCATATAAGAATATGACCAAATGAGATATAGCTGAAGAAGAATGGCCAAGCTTTCAGAAAAGCATCAAAATGAATGTGTGTCTCACATATCTAGCTTACTAGCATAAGCTAGACTAGTAATATAATACATACAATATATGCAAGAAATATGAAACACCTCTGGCCAGTGCTTATATAATTATTAGATTTTTCTTAAATAATAAATATTCAGTTATCCAATCTCATAATTGAAATTTCTGAATTTATTATTCAAATACAGAAAAAGTATTGAGTTCCATAGTTAATTTAAGCCATTATTTTGTTTTCTAAATATAAAAAAAATGCCTTCAAAAATATCACACTTATTTAAAAAAAGAAAAAATATACAGTCAAATCTTAATATAACAAACCCTTGATATAGAGAATTTTTAATTTTTAAAATCAAATATATTAAATATACATTACTATAATGAACCAGTCAATTAAATTCTTTAAAAAATTTGTTATAAACTTATAATAAAATTGAGATCCAGACCCTAGGATTCGTTATATCAAGAGTTTACTATATGCTGTTGAAGAGTTCAAGGAGTCTATTATAAGATAGAATATGATATAACTAAAATACATCAAAATCTTAAAAGCATTTCCTGAAAAATCTATTATTTATATAATGCTATGTCATTCTCTAAATCATCTGAAAAATTTGAAAAATCCAATGATTGTGCGGATATATAAAAAAAAAAATAATCCAAAAAAAGAGAGATACAATTAAGATGTATTAAGATCAAGAAAATCAATATGATTATTATTTTGAAGTAGTGATAACTATCTTAGAAATATAGTAGGGCAAAAATTGGGTTTCTAGAACAAAAATCCAAAAGATATCCAGAAAGGTTCCTATCTGCCTACAAATCAATTTTAGCTATATAAATCAAATTATCAAATTCAAGCCTCTAGCGTAATTTAACTCAAATATAAATGATGATATTGAACTTGGTTAGGAATTAGCCTTCAGATACCAAGAATTATACTGTTTGATATATCCATTCTAGCCTGATTTTAATCCCAAATAATATATCAAAAAATTTTTACTATTCTGTTTGCCTCAGAAAAGGCTATCAAAAATCAAGGAACAAAGTGATGCGATTTGAGTTGAGTTTGACATTACAAAACCAATATTAATAATAACTTTTATGCTATTCTGCTTGCCTCTAGAGAGGCTATCAAAAATCAAGGAACAAAGTGAAGTGATTTGAGCTGAACCTGTTCATATAAGCTTAAAATGCATATCATAACTAAGTTTAACCTCTTTAAGGTTTGATTTAACAGTTATCTAGTTTGCAAATCAAAAGCTTAATGATTATGTTCTAGCATATTATCAATTTATCAACATACAAGAAACTATTCTAGAGCCATTTCCTTTACACAAACTTGAGACAAAAAAGTCTAATCTTTTGTCTACCTATATATGAAATCCAACTACAAAAAAAAAGTCTAACCTCTCAACTAACTATATAATAAATCTATCTTTTACTAAAAGTCTAACCTCTTGAATACATATC